CCTCGTGGGTGGGGTGGCGTCTCACTGTGGGACCACAGGCGTGGGCCATCCTCGTGGGCGGGGTGGCGTCTCACTGTGGCTTTATTTGCACGTGCCTAATGACTTTGTCCATCTTCTCAGGTGCTTACTGAGCATTTCCGTATCTTCTGTGGAGAATGTCTCCTCAACAACCCTGCACCCACACCACCTGCTTTGTTGTGGAGATGGTTCTTCATTTGTTGCCCAGGCTGTTCTTTTTCCCATTTTTCAACTGGGCTGTTTTTTTACCGAGTCATGGGAGTTATTTTTACATTCTGGATATCAATCCCTTATAAGTACATAATTTGCAAATATTTTCTCTTAATTTCCCATAATTTCTAAGAGACATTTTCATTAAGTAATTAAAACACGTACCTAAATTCTGCCGAAATTCAGACTTAAGTCCAATTTGAAGCAGCTGGTTTTCAAACAACACACCATTGTTTTTACAAACAAACCTGGGGAAAAAGACAGTATATGTCACTCAAAACCACCCACAAAACACAAGGGTTTGTTCTGGAAAAAAACGTGTAGCACAAGGAGGCCAGAAAAACCTCTATGGGACACAAGGGAGGAAAAAAGTGGAAAACTGTGGCTGGGCACGGTGCCTCACACCTGTAATCCCAGCACCTCGGGAGGCAGAGGTGGGCAGATCACGAGGTCAGGAGTTCCAGACCAGCCTGGCCAACATGACGAGACCCCGTCTCTACCAAAAATACAAAAATTAGCCTGCGTGGTGGCAGACACCTGTAATCCCAGCTACTGGGGAGGCTGAGGCAGGAGAATCTCTTGAACCTGGGAGGTGGAGGTTGCTGTGAGCCAAGATAGCGCCACTGCACTCCAGCCTGGGTGACAGAGCCAGACTCCATCTCAAAAAAAAAAAAAGTGGAAAACTATTCCAAGGACATCCTGACAAATGGCCACAGAGAGGATGGCGAGTGGGGCACAGTGAGGCAGGCACAGCCCCGGTGAGACCTGTGTGGTCAGTGGGTGCAGCTGCTTTTCATGAACTTGCTGCTCCACATATAATGGCCTCTCACAGCCCCAGACAGGACGGGGCGTGATGATATATGCACATAGCCTCTGGCCACACCACACACTCCATCCAACAAGGTGCCAGACACTCAGCCAGGTGAAGGCCTCGCCATCAGAGCCTGGCTGCCTCGCCCCGCACTGATGCACATGCACGTACGGGCACCCAGCCATCCACCCGCCAGCAGCACAGCCCTGCAGGGCCCTGGGTACCCCCATCTCCTCTCTGGCCTCCCCTCCCCTCTCTCCAGGCATGGCTGTGTCTATGCTGCACGGGGAACCCAGGGCTTTGCTCACCACAGGGCACTTATCTACAGTACACAGAATGAGGGGAAATGAAACAGCATTGGTTAGCTTTCATTTGCATTTATTGCAGAAGAACTTTGAGTTTTCTGACCTCCTCTAGGAAACCACAACTCCACAGGGACCTGGGTCCAATGGAAGGAGAAGGGGGCAGGGCAGCAGCACAAGGCTCCTGAGTGGGCCCAGCAGAGGGACGCCACACTGATTCATACCACAGGGTGGGGAGGCGGGAGGTCCCGGAGCCGCCCCTCCCCGCAGCCCCAGTGCCTAAGAAGCAGACGCTGCATGGCAGCAGCCTAACTCTGCAATCTCCAGCTCCACCTATGCTGACTCAGAGAAGACCCAGACCAGCCATTCCCACGCTTACCCAGTCTCTACTCAGTGCACCCCATCTGCCACCCTGGAAGGTCTGAGTGCTGCTGACCCGCAGATGAGCTCGTTGGCAGCCTGCCGTACGGAGGCCAGGCCAGGAAGAAGACAGAGGAAGGAGCGACAGGCGGCAAGGGCCCCAGTTGGGACAGTGACAGAGGTCCTTGGCAGGGAGGGCGCTGCTTGCCACACACTGCCCCACTCCGGCCTGCCATGGCCACAGAGCCGTGAGGCAGCAGTCCCCGCATGCACACACCTCTGGAGGCTACAGCCAGCCCGACACGCCACTGGTCCAGCTCCATCCACATGCGAAGCTTCCAAAAGCCCAGTGTGGCCCACCCAATACACAGGTCAGTCATCCACAACACAGGCGCTCCCCTGGACTTCACACAGCAGGTGACTAACAAAGTAGGCATCACTTCACAGGAGAAGCCGCCGAGGGAAAGGTCCACATGCCCACCGCGCCCCGGGGCCACTGCTCCGCCGCAGCCAGTGAGCACTCCACCCGAGAGGCCAGTGCAGACACAAGACTGTGGAGTGGACACTCGTGGACTGGCCTAAGCCACTTCAAAGTGCAATCTGTCAAGGACATGGGAGGGGTGCTGACTCTCCCACGGCATGACAGAGAGGCCCTGCGGCCGGCGTCTCAGCTTGGCTGCTTGTTTTTTAAAGGGTCATCCCAACTACAGCCTGGCCTGGGGAACTTCACGGGGAAACGCAAACCACTCTGCGAGGCCGAGAATGCAGCGTCCTGTCCTGTAAGCCACATCCCGGCAGCCACGCAGTTGGCTCGCCCTGAGGCCCTCTGCGCCTCCATCCGACACCAAACACACACAGACACCTGACGACCCTCTGTAGCCAGACCAAGGCCAAGACACCCCAGACACCAATGCCCCAAGGCCTGGCCACCGGGAGACAGTGCCACTCAACATGAGGAGTGCACAAGGGCCACGTGCAGCTCCCAGCACAGCCGTGTGGAGACGGGGCAGGCATGTGCCCAGCAAGGAAGGGCTGAGGCTGCCACGGACTGTGCACAAAGTCCCTGTCCCTTCCTCCCAAGACACTGAGGAGCAGCCACTGCCACAGCACTGGAACCTGGACCCTGCAGTGCTTCTCAACCCCAAACACAGCGATGCTAAGAGCAGTAACAGGTCTGTTTTCATCCCAAGAGGCGACCTGCACCAAACACGCACAGCAGCCTGCTCTCCTACGTCCTTTTCCAGCACGTAACAGGAAACAGGACTCACGCGCAACATGAACACAAAGAACTGGAAAACATTTAAAACCACCAGAATTCTATCATCGTCTTCAGAACGGGGGACCGAAAGGCCATTCCTCAAAGGCTCTCTAACCTCCGTCTGGGACAGAAACTGGCACCTGCGCTCCCAACCCACAGGGCAGCAGGGGAGGGGCGTCAACTCTGAGAAGAGGGGGCCTCGGACCTCCGACCTGACATAAAAACAAGCAGACAGCTGAGAGCAGCCAGCAGGGGCAAGGCACAGCTCATCAGTCCCGCAGAGAGGGCCGGGGAGAGCGGCCTGCACTAACATTCTGGGTACCGCGGAGACACTGGCAGAGACCACCACACATGGGGAGCTGGGTGGTGTCCAGGCAGTGGACACAAATTAGAGCAGGACAAGCAGCAAAGACGGGCTGTCCGTGGAGCCGACCACAGGCTGGAGGCCGAAGACGTGGACGGGGCGGGCCTCACAGGAGGACTCGGCAAGTGAGAAGCTCCAGGACGAGAGACCGGGCCTCCAGGTCAGACGCGGACAAGACGGCCTGTCAGAGTGAAACGCAGCCCAACGAGGCAGGGAAGAGGCGAAAAGAGGACGTGTCGCTACAAGGAGTGCTGGCCAGCATGGACACCGCCGCAGACAGGACACACCGCGGGCCAGACCGTGGCTCTTTTCACGTCCTCCTCCTCTCTTGAGAGTCACGTTACCCTCTATCTGCTGAACACTGCAGCCCATAAACCAAGTTCTGAGGGGAGTTCCACAGCAAGCCTACCCCACCCACAACACGGCAGCTCCCACTCGTCCCCCAAGCAGCTCTGGGAGGTAAACTTCGCTGCCCTCAGCCACACTGGAGGTCACGGGCACAGCACCCCCCGTGCCTGTCTGCAGGACCCCGCTGCCCACCTCTGTCCCGCTGGCTGTGGCCACACCAGGGGTCACAGGGCACAGCACCCCCCGTGCCTGTCTGCAGGACTCAGGAAACCTGACTACCTGGCAAAGTTGTCTTCGGAGCCAGGAGCGAGAGGTGCGACCGCAGAGGCCGAGTCTGAGAACACATCCACGAGCAGCCCGCCGCTGCCGGAGGAGGGTGGGGGGCCCGCAGGGGCCGGGGGGGCGGCCCCCAGACCCAGCAGGTCTGCCGATGGAGAAGGCGTAGACTGGAAAAGAAGGAAGGAGAGCATCAGCACAGAGCCTCCCTGGCCTGGCTGACCCCAGGCAGCTCACGCGTGCACGTCCTCCCCCACGGCACCCCCTTGGCATCCCCGAGATCCCGGAGGCTAGGGCAGGTGGCACACGGGCCAGTGAGTGGCCAGAGCATGAGGGCAAACAGCCACCTCCTGAGTAGATCCCAAAGCCCAGCCTGAAGGCAACTGCACTTCAAAGACAAACCATCATTTCACTAAGATGACCTACATTTTCTCACAATGGCTGAAGGAAAAAAAAATTCTCAAAAAAAGTTTGCCATGAAAGGCATAAAAAAGAAACACGTGGCTTAAGAAATAAGATCAAGCACGTCACTGCCGACTGTCCGAGAAGGAAGTTCCAGAAGATGAAAAGGAACTTATTTGGGTGCACGATCATTTCAATCATTAAGTTATGACTAAACCATTATTAGTTTAATCATTTAAAAGTCTACAGTTCAACAGATACTTTCAAAAAATAATTGCTTTCTGGCCAGTGCGGTGGCTCACACCTGTAACCCGGCACTTCGGGAGGTGGAGGCAGGAGGACTGCTTAAGCCCAGGAGTTTGAAAGGAGACTGGGCAACATAGCAAGAAGCTGTCTCTGTTTTTTCTTCTTCTTTTTTTAGACAGTCTCACTCTGTCACCCAGGCTGGAGTGCAGTGGTGCAATCTTGGCTCACTGTAACCTCCGCCTCCCAGGTTGAAGTGATTGTCCTGCGTCAGCCTACCGAGTAGCTGAGATTACAGGCATATGCCACCATGCCCAATTAATTTTTTTGTATTTTTAGGAGAGATGGGATTTCACCATGTTGCCCAGACTGGTCTCTAACTCCTGGGCTCAAGTGATTCTGCTGTCTCAGCCCAAAGTGCTAGAATTATAGGAGTGAGCTGCTGCACCCAGCTCTATTTTTAAAAAATTAAATACTAGTAATAATGGCTCTTTGTTGTTGTTGTTTTTGTTTCTTTGAGATGGAGTCTCGCTCTGTCTCCCAGGCTGGAGTGCAGTGGTCTCAGCTCACTACAACCTCCACTTCCCAGGTTCAAGTGATTCTCCTGCATCAGCCTCAGAGAAGGTGGGATTACAGACTAGTTTTTGTATTTTTAGTGGAGACAGGGTTTCACCATGTTGGCCAGGCTGATCTCAAACTGCCGACCTCAAGTGATCTGCCCACCACAGCCTCCCAAAGTGCTGGGATTACAGGCGTGAGCCGCCACACCCAGACATCTATGGCTTTTAACCACTTTCTAAAGCAGGAAAGCCCTTTGCCCTAGCAAATAAATTTGTACCCGAAACGTTCGTTACCACAGACTGTGATACCAAGGCCAGATTCAGGCCCCAGGACGACAGGGTCCTGACACCCACTGCGGGTTCCCCATCTCCTCCTGGTCCTCAGGCCTGGGAGACCCTCCTCAGGGAGCAGGCCTGGCTCCTGGGCCATACTGGTTCGTCCCTTCCCTCCAACAGCAGGACAACTTGAGGGGTGAAGTTTCTGCCTACGAGGGTCCCGGGCTCCTGCACATGAGGCCAAGCAGCCTCTGATCCCCACACCCATGTGCTCCCCAGCACACCCAGGGGCCCCAAGGAGCTGTGTGCAGAGAGAGAGGATGCTCAGAAGAAGTACATGTTCCGGCCTCATTGATGATCTTAATAGACATTTTCGCCAACGTGACACCAAAATAAAGCCACTGCCTCTCATGGGAAAGGCACGCATGTTGATGCCACCCTCAAAGAGACCCTTCGTGACCCATGCAAAAGACCCCAAGCAGGAGAATGTGCCAGGAGTGACCCCACCTCTGTCCTTCCCTCCTTCCTCACCCCAGCCCACTAGGGTCTCCCTGTGAGCAGTGGGGACAGACCAAAAGCACAGGATAGCACCAAAGCCCACACGCCACAGCTCTCAGTCACAACGGAGGCCACTGCCTCCGTCACAGACGCTCCCTAAGGAGCCCACCCGTCAGGCACCACTGACCAGCAGGGGGGAAGCCACACTCAGAAAATCCACGGAATGAGCCCTGAAGGGGGCCCTCCAAGGAGGCACCTTAACAGAAATGCTGGCCCTCACTGGACCTTCATCCTCCTTTGCAGAGGGCAGCATGCCACTCACTCCCACAATCTAGAAGCTTCCATCTGATCCCTAAGCCACACGGTCAAGGCCAGGCACCTCCAAAGTCCACCCGGAGCCTGGCTGGGCAAACCTAGGTGTGATCTAAGGCCTAGGGTGTGGGCACACCTCACAGGGCCCACATGAAAAAGACGCATCAACAAGAACCACAGAGAGAGAGAGAGACTGACGACAACCCTGAGCCCCCTTCTGCCCTCAGCGAGCTCCTCTTCAAGTCGAAGCAGCTGGAGAGGAGCCAGAGCCCCTGGTGCCTTCCCGGCCTCCAACAGGCCACCGCAGGTTTCCTCGGAAGGCTTCCAGTGCCCTTGTGGAAAGTCGCCTCCCCTGGGTCATGTCTTCCTGCCCTCGCTTCCTCACCCAACTGGGGCCACGTCCTCCTCTCTGCAAGGCGGAGCCACTGCTGGCCCAGCACCCACAGGAAAGGCCCTGTTCTGGCAGCTCATAGACAAATCTCCACAAATCAGCACTCTGTCTCCAGAAACCCAAGTCAAGACGCCCGAAGGAGGAGGGGAGACGGATCAGTGGAGTGACGGAGTGGCTACTGACATCCCACGGGACAGGGCCTAAAGCAGGTCACCAGCTCTACAGAGCACATGAGAAGCACGAGCATGAAGGTGCTCAGGCGTGAAGGGAAGACGCCCACCTGGGTTACCATGCACTCCAGGATCAGCTCACAGGCAAGTCAAGCCTCTGGAGGGCGGGCACGGCAGGTGCCACAATCAACACAGAGAGGACACAGGGGACAGGGGCTGCACACAGGACATGAGGCGATGGGGGGAGGGCGAACCGTTAACCCGAGTCAGGCTCAGCCGAGGGGGGGGGAGGGGGGGGGGGGGGAGGAGGGGAGGGGCGGGGAAGGGAGAGGGGGAGGAGGAGGAGGAGGAGGAGGAACAGGAGCCAGCCATTGGGCGAGATGTCAGGCCTGGATATGAGCCCCATGGCAGGCCCTGCACTATCAGCCGGAGGGGCAGAACACACAGTCAGCAAGGACACGCGGTCAGCAAGGGCACACAAGCAGGTCCCTGACTCAGAGATGAGCTCCCTCCCAACCAGCAAAGTGCCAGGGCAGGTACCGCCATGGGAGCTGGCCCCAAAAGCCCTGCCAATACTGAGTGGCAGCACTGGACCGGCGTCCTGGAGAGGAAACCCTCTCTCCAGAACTCCTCTAACTGGACAGAGACAGCCCGAGTGACCCCGACAGGAGCCCTCCCCAACAGCACAGAAGGGAACAGCCAGCAAGCAGAGCCAAGCAAAAACACAACACTCAAAATGACACTTCTCACCCGACAAATACCACAGGACACATTCTCAGTTACAGAATTACTTTCATCGCATCACACATACAAGGAAAACCAGACCTAACCCAACTCACTACAGAAAACCTCCAAGAACAGGGCAAGACAGGTCTGCCCTAAATCAACAAAGCACGTGTCAACAGCCGTCTGGGTGAGGCAGTCCTGCAGGAGAGGGGCAGCCAATCCCATAAAACAAGTCACCACAGAGGACTCAAGATACTGGTCTGGAGGACTTGCCTCGCCAACAAACAGTGGCCCCCGGGACAGACCATCGTGGGTGTCCTGAGCCACGGCCGACGCCTGGGTTCTCAGTACACGCTGCTCCCTGACAGGCTAATGCCCTGCTGGTGCCAAGTCTTGGGGGAGAGGCCCTGACAGGTCTGGGTGCACAGCAGAAGAGGGACCCACCATAGCGCTGGTGCTGGCCGGGGCAGGCTCGGGGCCCCCGTTCACATCAACACTCCTCTCCCGCTTGGTGTCCTCCAGGTCTGTCACCGTGCTGGGGCCCTTCTTCTTCTTGAGCTTGGCAAGGATGGAGGACTCCCGCTCCGGGAACGGAGGCATCTCCTCCAGCACAGTTGCCTTGGGAAGACAGGGTGAGCTTGAGCAGAGCCCTGACTCCCAACTCCCAACCCCCGGTCATGTGAGCACAGGGTGGGGACTCCTACCAGGATGTCGGTGCTGGCCACGGTGCTGAGCCGCAGGTACTCCACGGCGCGCTGCTGCAGCTCCACGTCTGCATTCCGCAGCTGGCTGTCGCTGCGCAGCACGTCCTGGATGGTGGGCTTCACCTCCGGAAAGAGGTTCACGAACTTGATGTAGGTGGACAGGAGCAGCGCACGGGTGGGGACACTGCACAGGTGGAACTTGGAGTGCAGCAGGTTGAACTGGATCAGCGGGCTGGGGGCAAGGAGAGCACAGCAGGGAACCCGTCATCCCCGCAGGGAGGGACGGCAGCCAGACCCCTCGCCTGCACCACAGGCCGCTGGTGACACCCCTCCTCCAGCTCCAGAACCCACTGCAAGGCGCCCGCCCATTCACAAGGTCAGCCGCGGACCCGGTCTCTCTATTTCCCACTAGAATCCCTGCTTTTTTGTCCCCTGAAGGAAAACAAGACGACAGTGCCTGGAGCAGGAGCGGCTCTGCGGGGTCTCACGACAAAGCCGGCTTGTGCCTCGGGGCTGTTCCGGTGACAAGCAAGGACACCAGCCACCCTGGCCACTGGAGCGCACACAACCCCGACGTGCACAGGGCCCCTCACCTGGATCTCGGGTCTCCAGCTATCAGGTTTCCAAACTCCCCCAGGATGTAGCCACCCACTTTGACCAGGTTCTCGTGGCACGCAGGAGCCTGAAGAGCCTGCGAAGCCACAAACACAATGAGGAGCATGGCAGCCACGTGGCCAGAGTGAAGTCAGGCAGGCACTTGCTGGCAGGCTGCACCCCGCGCCAGCAGCAGCCCTCAGCTTCCTGGAAACCCCAGTCTGAGCGCACCTGCCCCTCCCCCCTCCCCGCCTTCCTGCAGCGCCCTCAGGTCCTGTGTCAGCAGCAAGGAGCCAGAGGCTGCCACCCGCTGGCCTGCCCTGGAGGGAGCTGCAGCGTCCTGAACAGGCTGCAGCCGGGTAGGTTCTGCCAGCGCCCTCACGGCACACCCGCCCCGGTGGCCTAATCCTCTCCATGGACAGGCGGGCCCCACCCTGCAGACACAGCATGCTCTCACACACGGAGGCAGCTTTCTCAGGTGGCCCCAGAGAGCCACAGTTTGAAAAGTCAGGGTGAGAAGAAACTGTGACTCAGTCAGGGACACCAGCAGCAGAGGAGCCAGAGCCTCAGGGAAGAGCTGAGGGGCATGAGGGGTCAGCCACAGCCCCAGCACCTTCACGCAGGCGGGCTGGGACCACTACTCACCTTCCACGACTCCCCCCCCATCCTTCCTGGCAGTCCCATGGCCGTACCTCGAACACGGTCTTGGCCGCGTAGCCCTGCACGTCGTCCCGGTTGATGACGATCTGAATGACTCGGTACCACACCTCTTCACTCACGTAATCGCCAGCGATTCGGATCAAGTTCAAGATGGTGTCCACGTACCAGGTGTAGTCCACGGCATACTTCTCGGCCAGGATGGCGACCTTCAGCACCTGCAGGGGATTGGCGGCTGAGGGCGGACACCTGCAGGCCATGGCAATCCCAAAACCAAACTATCACCCAACGAGGGTTTCAGAAGCACCTATGTGTCTATTTTAAAAGTTTGGGATGGCCGGGTGCGGTGGCTCACGCCTGTAATCCCAGCACTTTGGGAGGCCGAGGCGGGTGGATCACAAGGTCAAGAGATCGAGACCATCCTGGTCAACATGGTGAAACCCCGTCTCTACTAAAAATATAAAAAATTAGCTGGGCATGGTGGTGCGTGCCTGTAATCCCAGCTACTCAGGAGGCTGAGGCAGGAGAATTGCCTGAACCCAGGAGGCGGAGGTTGCGGTGAGCCGAGATCGCGCCATTGCACTCCAGCCTGGGTAACAAAAGTGAAACTCCGTCTCAAAAAAAAAAAAAAAAAAAAAGTTTAGGATGCACAAGAAGCTTGCACTAGATTCTCAAAAAGGCCACAAGCCCAGAAAGTTTAACATTCCCTGACTTAAGCAAGTAAAGCCAGCCTGAATCCCAGGAAAAGGCGCAGCCCAGCGCACAGGTGGCCATGACCACAGCCAGGCCATCTCCCACCTGGCCCTCCTCTCCTGAAGCACCTGGCTGCAGCGCCCTCTGACCCTGCCACCCTGGGGTCCTGGCGGCCGCCTCTCTGATGGTTTCCTCCTGCTCCAGCCAAACTTTCCTGCGAGTCCCACCTGGGCGTCCCCCTTCTCCTCCTCTCTGGCTCACTCTCACGGGAGACCTACCACTCCTTTACCCCCAGGCACCCAGAGGTGCCTGCCCCGCCCACACCCACATGGCAGCCACACACATGGAGCTCTGCCAGGCTGTCCGACACCAAATTCATCTCCCCAAAGTCACCTCGCCTTGCACCAAGCTCCCTCCAAGAGCACCAGCTGCCAACACCAATGCTGGCAGGCATCAAGACCACACACCTCCCAAGGACACCCCCCAAACGCCCTGCCGCCCCCTCCCCACGCCCCGCCGCACCCCCACACCCTGCTGCTGGCCGCTCAGATGCTGATGACTGTGTCTCCCCTGAGTCCTTCCATGGAGCCTGGACCCTGAAAAACTCCATGATACTTCCAGAGCATCATTCCAAAATGCATTGCCTCTGAGCCCTGCCTCAGCCTGGGGCTGTGCACAAGGGCCCTCACGCCTCACTGGCAGGGTCCCCATGCACCCCTCTACCCATCTCACATGCCCTGCTCCCCACCCTGTACTGAGCCACCCACCACCCATCCACAAACTGCTGCTCCGCCCTCCCAGTGACCCCTGCAGCATCATCCTCTCCAGACCAGGCGCCTCCCACCCCTACAGAAGTCCACACAGCACCCCCAGAGTGTAATGCCTCCTGAGGCCGCGGAACATGGAGCACTTCCTCCGGCCATCCCACCTTCAGCACAGCGACCCTTGGCCCTGCTCTTAATCCATGCTCCTCCACAGATGGGAAGGGGCAGAGGAGGAGTGGGCCAGGTCCGGTGTGGACACCCAGCACCTAGCGCAGCCACAGAGAAGACGCTCTGCCATGCCTGGCTGAAGGAACAGGGTGTGGGGAGCGCCACTCGGGCCAAGACGCAGCACCTGTCTTACTCCCCACAGCAGGAGCTGTGAGGTCACCGCTCATCCACACCTGTCTTACACCTCACGGCAGGAGCAGCTGACATCACTCATCACACCTGCCTTACACCTGACAGCGGGAGCAGCTGACGTCACTCACCGCACCTGCCTTACACCTCACGG